TCTCCAAGACTAAACAACCCCAATTCCCTCAGTCAGTCCTCAGAAGACTTATTCTCTAGACCCTTCACCTGCTTTGTTCCCCTTCTTTGGGCATGCTCCAGCACCTCAGTGTTTTGCTTGTAGTGAGGGGTCCAAACTGAATGCAGTATTTGAGGTGCAGCCTCACCAGTGCCAAGTACAGGGGGACGATCACTTCTCTAGTCCTGCTGGCCACACGATTTCTGATACAAACCAGGATGCTATTGGCCTTCTTGGCCACCTGGGCACTCTGACGGCTCATATTCAGCCGGCTGTTGACCAACACCCCCAGGTCCTTTTCTGCCAGGCAGCTTTCCAGCCACTCTTCCCCAAGCCTGTAGTGTTGCATGGGGCTGATGTGACCCAAGTGCAGGACCCACACGTGGCCTTGTTGGATCTCATACATTTGGTCTCAGCTCATCGCTCCAGCCTGTCCAGATCCCTCTGTAGAGCCTTCCAGCCCTCAAGCAGATCAATGCTCCCGCCTAACTTGGTGTCATCTGTAAACTTCCCGAGGGCGCACTCAATCCCCTCATCCAGATCATTGATCGAGATATTGAACAGAACTGGCCCGAATACTGAGCCCTGGGGGACACCAGTCATGACTAGCTGCCAACTGGATTTAACTCCATTTACCACAATTCTTTGGGCCTGGGCACCCAGGCAGTTTTTTTACTCAGTGAAGCATATGCCTGTCCAAGCCATGAACAGACAGTCTCCCCACAAGAATGCTGTGGGAAATGGAGTCAAAGGCTTTACTAAAGTCCAGATAGACAACATCCACAGCCTTTTCCTCATCCACTAAGCAGGTCACTTTGCCACGGAAGATCAACTTAGTCAAGCAGGACCTGCCTTTCATAAACCCCTGCTGACTGGGCCTGATCTCACTGGGTTGTCCTGCACATGCTGTGTGATGGCACTCAAGATGATCTGTTCCATAATCTTCCCCAGCACTGAGTTCAGAGTGACAGGCCTGTCATTCTCTGAATCTTCTTTCAGATGGCTGTCACATTTGCTAACCTCCAGCCGCCTGGGACCTCCCTGGTTAGCCAGGAGTGCTGATAAATGATTGAAAGTGGCTTGGTGAGCACTTGTGCCAGCTCTCTCAGTGCCCTTGGGTGAATCCCATCCATCCCCGTAGACATGTGTGTATCTACATGGTGTAGCAGGTCGCTAACCATTTTCCTTTGGGTCATGAGGGCTTCGTTCTGCTCCCTGTCCCCGTCTTCCAGCTCAGGGGGTTGGGTACCCAGAGAACAGCTGGTCTTACTATTAAAGACTGAGGCAAAGAAGGCATTAAGTGCCTCAACCTTTTCTTCATCCTTTGTCACTCTGTTTTCCTCATGCATCCAATATAGGATGGAGATTCTCCTTAGACCTCCTTTTGTTGCTAAAGTATTTAGAGAAACAATTTTTATTGTCTTTTATGACAGTAGCCAGATTAAGTTCTAGGTGGGCTTTGGCTCTTCTAATTTTCTCTCTGCATAACCACATGACATCCTTGTAGTCCTGAATTGCCTGTTCCTTCTTCCAAAGGTCAGAATCTCTCCTTTTTTCCTGAGTTCCAGCCAAAGCTCTCTGATCAGCCAGACTGGTCTTCTTTCCAGCCAGCTCATCTTTAGGCACATGGGGATGGCCTGTTCCTGCACCTTTAAGATTTCTTTCTTGAAGAATGTCCAGCCTTCCTGGACTCCTTTGCCCTTCAGGACTGCCTTCCAAGGGACTCTGCCAACCAGTCCCCTAAACAGGCCAAAGTCTGCCCTCTGGAAATCCAAGTTCTGCAGACCCCCCTTTCTTACTTCTCCAACAACTGAAAACTCTGTCATTTTGTGATCACTAGATACAGGTGCTCTCTGCAGGCAGACAGGCTGATTAAAAAGATTGCCATCCCATGGGCATGTTGCCACCTGCCAACTCTCACGCCTGTGTAATACAGCAGGGGTCTCTGAAGTTTTTCTTAGTACAACTGACGGAAAATTAGCCTGAGGACTTTCAAGCTCATTTTGTGGCTGTGTTTGCTCAGGCTGGTAGACCTTCCATGCAGCAGGTCAGAGAGCTCAGGTGAGCCCTTCCATAAGTAGGGCTGGGGCAGTCACATCCCTCCAAAGGGTAGAAAACAGGCTGGTAATATCTGCCACCCAGACTAGTAGATGTAAAAGAAAGCATTTTCCTATCCAGAAAGCACTTTAAACTCTTCAAGCTGTCTGAAAAACAGTGACTCAGGCCCTCCTCAGACTACTGACTGCGATAAAGCCCATTCACTCTCCACTACCTGTGACTGTGGCCCCAAGCCTCCTCGTAGCCACATCCCCACGCAGACCCACATCAGCAACTTGCATCCTCCATCTCTGACACCAGCAACTACCATCTGAGGACACCTGGTGCCATGCCTCAGCTTCTGATGACAACATGGAGCCAGAGTAAGGTAGACTGGCATCAGTAGGGTCTTCCCTTTGGGAACACCAGCTCTCTGCTACCCCCTACCCCTCAAAACACACCACCGCAGAGATCACAGGCAAGTGGAGCAGCCAGTCCATCTGCCTGGCCTCCTCAGTGCTTTCTACAAGGATCTCCCCTCTCCTACTTGGTTTCTCAGCTGCCACGGCACCACCTGGCCACCAGAAGAGCCAATCTGCAAAAGTTCACATTACTATTTCATTTTTTTCTGCTTCAGAAGCACAGAAACATATTGTGGGATGGCAGCTGTCTTGGTATCACACTGCAGCCCTGCAGCCCTGAACCCAAGTCTACAAGAGCAAGTCAACATTGGTCAAATCACTTGAACTCTCCATATCTCATTCAATAATCTGTCAAATGAGGTTGATAATATCTCACTAGGTTGCAGTGAGGTTTAGTTAATTATTTTAATGCACTTGAAGATGTTTAGATATTTGTAATATGAGCACACATAGGCAAAACATCAGTAATTCTGTGAGTGCCAGTCCTTGATCTGAGTACATCAAGAAGTCTCTAGCAACAGGCGGGTGGTTAGCAAGTATGAAAGTACCAGAAGTATCTGTGGACAGATGGCAAATCCCTCCTATCCTCACAGGTACATGTCCTGTGTTTCAGAAGTACCCTGCCCATTTCTAACCAGTGACTGTCCAGCCTACAACAAGAGCTTCCTTTATCAGCGCAGCAAGATGATGCTCCTGCATAATCAAAATTAATCAATTATGTTGTACAACAGCTTATTCACTTTGATGTGCATATCTAAATAATTATTGCAGGTGTATGCAAAACAGGTTCTAGCTTAATAGGCTCCCTATTTTGTTCAGTTTTGGCCAGAATGATTGCCTATGAAGAAAAATCAGAGAGCTTTAGGCAGTTGTTATTGTTAAAAAACATAGTTTGCAGGGAGGAAGGAATTTGCAGTGGGGAAAAGAAGTCTCATTTGAATAACAAAACAATTTTTGTTGATGTTGTTGTTGTTTATGAGCTATTTAAGCCCTGGGGTGGGTAGAAAAGGGGAAATAAGAGGGATTTATCTGTCAAAAATATTTTAAACAGATAGTACCAATGATAAAAATCCTATTTTGAGTTTGAGCAATAAGTAGCACATCATACAGTTTCTAGGAAGGAAATTAAAATAAAAGAGAACTTAATAAGCCATGAAAATATTGTAAGAAGTGGTATGTATTTTTTAAAATAAACACAAGTAACATTTCATCCCCCTTTAAGCTCTCAAATATTTCAATTTATTCAGCCAGACTCACCATCCTCACTGTTAGAACAGTCTGGAGACCAAGATGGCATTTAGCTTCCTCCCTTCAAGTCACAGGGAGCAATGTTTCCAGCGCAGAGCTTGAAGCACTGATGCCTCTCTAATCCCAGCAAACCTTGGCCTCTCTTGCTCCGCTCAGTTTACAGAGGCAGAGTTGTGCCAAAGACTCAGTCCTTGCTCTAATTGTCTCTGCAGTCCACAAACGAAATCAGAAATAGCAACCTGTTGCCACTAGCAGGAGGTTGGAGACACACAGAAAAAAATAGGCAGAAGGGACCAGCAGTAGGGACCATCAGTGGCCACAGAGCAGTGGCTACCCATGCTGACTTGCAGAGCAGTGACCTCTGTGATTAGGACATTTGTAATACAACTGACATATCCACAAATATATAAGGTTCAGACACTGTGCACACAACAGCTCAGATCGGTTTTCAGCTCTACCATGAATCTCTGTTGCTTAAAAATCTGTCTTGGTCCCTCACTTCTATGATTGCTTTCTGCTTCATTTTAAGAGTTCACTGAAGTCATTTCTACTCACTCCACATAAACCAGTTTTGACACCAGTTCTATTTCCATCTTTTGGCTCCATGTGAAACGTCCACATTTTAACAGCCCAATGTTCATAGCAGGCAACAAAGCTGGGCATCCGAACATGTCACACGCGAGCACTGCCTGGATTAAACCTGTTTCTTGTAACCAAGCCAAGAAGAGACCAGTTACCTCCATCACTTGTACATGCAGCCAGTCACAGAAGTCAACAGTAAAAAAGAATGAGGCAGAAAACCCACAGGTGTTGTGGTATTTACATGGAAATATGTATGCAGAAGCCTTCAGCTTTCAGAAGTTTGTCACTGTTTTAGAAAAATAAAATGTCCCTTTTATACTGTGAGTAGTTAGTCATACTTTCTTTTGTGTTTTGGTTTTCTTGGTTGATTTTTTTTTTCAAACTAATAAAACCAAGACTTATCACAGACATTTCACAGGGTACATTTGCAACATTTAAATTAAAGACCTATCATTTTTGACAGGCATCTTCGACATATTTTGATTTAAAATTTTTTTTTTAAGTTTATTTTTTATACAGAAAGGGAAAAACATTTCAGGCAACTGCTCAAAAGTGGTGACTTGTTATAAATGGATCAGTGTTTTCTTCCAGAGAAATACCCAAAGATATTCCTAATTAGCAGTAAGATAATTATCACAAAGCCTCCCATGTTCAGCAGTGACATGCTAAATCACCCCCGCTTGCAATTTCTAGAGCTCCACAAAAGCCAGAAGTGGGAAGAAGGAGCGACAAGGGGAGTTACCACCTGCTCGCCTGGGAACGAGCTGCAGCTCTAACCACTGCCAAGAGGTGAGTCCCAGCAGGCCCCTCGCACGCCAGCCTTCCCTCCAGGCCAGCTCCATCCCCTCATCCTCCCTATATGTGCCCGTCACAGCTCTTTTCTCCCACGTATCCAACGCTGTTTTCACTGTCTTGGTTTTCTTCGCTATGAGTCTGGGTATTCCCAACAGCACAGGTTAGCAAGAGCCTTTTTTTAAAGGCTTTTCCTGCCCATCAGCGAGCACAAGCTCCCCACAACTAGACAAGGGCATTGCTTCTTGCGTACACGCATGTGTTACAGCCGACAAAAAAGAAACAGAGCATTTAGTATGGAATATTTGGAAGCCGTTGATCTTTTTTCTTTTCTAAACACTAACAGAAGTTCCCAAAGAAGCAAGCAAACAAACAAAAATTAAACCGATTTTGTTTCCATTTTTGAAAGCTGAGGTATTTCAGGATATCCCCATCAAACCTTATCCTAATTTTCAGAACCTGGAAGGGAGAAAAATGATGTGAAGACAAAGGCAGGAAATGAACCTGAAAATTGGAAAAGCCAAAATGTTTGAATTTCAACATTTGCAATGCAATTTCATTATTTAAATAGAAATTGGTTTTGACTCTGCTAAAAAACAGCAGGAAATTTCAACAGAGATGAGAGCTGCATCAGGACAGCTTCTCTTCTCTGCTCAAGATCAGATTCAGCATTTTTCCCTCTTGCCATTGTTTGGCTCTTGAGCAACTTTGCTTAGAGGAATGCTGACCATGCAGCTGGCTCTGCAGGGGTTTCCCAACTCATAACTCCTCCCAGAAATAAGGCAGGATTATCAAGAATTCCCCAAATCACAGTTTTTCTGGGGAATTCCAGATTCCCCAAATCAGCAGCATGTAACACATACTGTGGCAGTGGCAAGACCTCCCTCCTGGAGGGACAGGTGCCTCCCTTGGGCTGGTCCAGCCCCAGCCTCACAGGGTTGGGGCACCAAGACCCCGGTTTCTCATAGCCATCTCTGGGCTTCAAGCTCTGGCCCAGCTGTAGCACTCGAGACTGTTGCAGAGATGAGAACTGCAAAGTGAGTTGCCCAGGAGGCTGATTCAGAGAAAGAGCTTAATTTAGCCTCTCTGAATCACCCTGCAGAGATGGCTGCTCTCCGACTACAAAAGGAACTGGAAAGTTTAGCGGAAAGTTTACCTCTGTGAATCCCTGTCCCCAGTGTCACACAAAGTCTGCTTCAGTGCTTAATCCACGTGGCCCAAATCTTGAACTGTGGCCTCAAGCACTCTCATGCAAACAAACCAAAAATAGGTGGGACAGAGCAGAGACTAGCAGAAACCACTTTTGTTATGGTGCTACGCACCATTTGTGTTAAAACATCATTAAAAACATTTCTCCGTGCCCTGAGAGCCACCTGCACTCCCTGCCCAGGGGGAAGGGGGAACCCAGGGCTGCATCTGAAGTTCAGAGACAAGCTCAGTGGTGGCATGGACATACAGCAGGGCCAAAGCTTTCAGAGAGAGGGAGCAACCCAGCAACCTGCCAGTGAGCTCTGTGCCCACTTAAACACCAATGGAAAGTCAGGGCTCATTTGCCTTGCTGTTTTATATAAAGGATCCTGAGTTATTATTAAATCACAGAAAGAAACTTAGAGGGGGGAAAAATGGTTCTCAGACTCTAGCTCTCAGGTCAGCCTCTCATATCCAGAACATTTCCTTGCCAAAACAAAAAAATCTTGGTAAGGGGGTTAATGGCTGAGACACAGCCTCTGGAGAGCTCTCTGTGTTTCCATTTTTTCTGGAAACCCGACAAGGGGTTTTCCTCAGGATGATAAGCTTCAGAAGAGGGTTTGCATGATCACACTGTCTGTGGGTCAGTCTGTCTGCATTCCCCTTTCCTTGTATCCTCCTTGTCCACAACCTTTTAATCTTGGTAGTCAGTTTTGAACAGACTGACAATCTGCTCTCTTCCCTTACCAGAGCCGTGCAGTTATGACTGCAGTTATCTGTGCCTCACAACGCCTGCACTCAGGGAAAGGAGCTTTGTTCCTTAGTGATGGGCCAGTCTGTCCTCTCAACCCCTCTGCATTTCTATGGACCAAGCAGCTGTCACACGGCTGATGTGGGGACCAAAGCCTCATCCTCTGCCCAGAAGCACAAGCATGAGCAAGGAGAAACAGAGGGGCTATTGCCAGTGCTCTTCAGGGAGCCAGATTTCTCCACCCATAACAGCATTTGCCCACTTGTAGCCAGTGGATCAGAGCCTTGCTGTGCTGTGAAAGCACAAGGAGGACTCGGACACTATGTTGTCTCTGACAGGGTTAGTTCAGGTTTTTATTGATCTGCATTTGTGGGGTTTGATCCACAGCTGCAAATTCAAGCCCAACGCTAAGTTTGTTTTCTGAGAGCCCCCTCCACATCTTGTGCCTGGGTGTCCTCTTTGTTGTGCCACACTTAGGCACAATGGGCAGCTGTTGCCGTCACAATAATGTCACTGAACTAAAAAAACTCCATTTAGAAGCTGCACCACATGCTCCACCTCATTACCTGAAAGAATCCTATGCATGAGATACTCTTGTTTTCACCAGCTTTGCTTCTTGCAAATGATTGGTAGTGTAAAGCAATCTGAAAAAGCGAATGTTTTGCAGATCAGACACTGCTCATCACAGAACGTTACAGCTCCTAAATTATTAATAGTAAAAAATGAGGTGTCCCAGAGCTGCTCATTTCTGGGTGAGGGAGAGTAGGAGGGTGGTAAGAAGAAAGGATTGTGCTATTACAGGTTATTTTTATCCAACATTTCTATGCTTCTGTCATTAGCTAATTGATGACACAGCCTGTTTAATATTATGTCTGCCTTCAGTATTTATAGCTCACCAATTACTGTGTTATCTAGGTGCTACTAACAAGCTGCTCTCAGAAGAATTTAGATGCTCATGGCTGGATTTTTTGATGCAAGGAAATGCAACTCTCTTGAAATCAGATGGTTTATACTAGCCAAGGATTTATTGACTATCCTGCTTAATCCCGTGTGGCACTGCTGGATCCCAGTTCATCCAGTACTGGGATACAGCAACAGTAGGAACAAGACACCATATTGCACAGCACAACAGCGTCTGCCCTTCACTTCCGACATTACTTCTGCACTAGCCACCAGAAGATCCAGGGCCAGTTATGCAGTGGGACACCTCCGTGTGTCATCTTTGCCTTCAGCAGGGATGAGAGCAGCTCAAAGCAAATTTTCATGCATTTGATCGAAGCACGAACTCCCTGGAGAGATGGAGAGAAGAGGGGCTGTTTTCCAGGTAACTGTCCAGTCAAATACCTCCTAAATACCAATGATCTCTTTGTAGCTGAATTCACAGCACCGAACAGTCATAAATCATAAATTGGCTGAGGTCTTGCACTTGTGGCGGATGGCACTGACCTTTGGGCAGTGCTGCTCAGTGAGAGAAGCTGTACTATCCACGTGCAGAGCAACCTCCAAATGTCAAAACTGCTCTCAACTGTAACAGACAGACACCAAACAGCTTGGGCATTCCTACAGTACGTTACCAGGAAAAAAATATGCCTCAGTACATATTAATTTCTCTTTCCGCCACCTACCCTACAGCTTCCATCTGACAATGACAAATGCACAGCCCCAAGGACACCATGTTCACAAAGAGCTTGTTGTTTCAGATGCAGGTCCCTTGGGCTGCCAGCCATCAGCAGGTCCTGTTGGTCTGCGGGACTCAGCAGAGCTCAGCACAGAGTTAGTGATTCAAGACCCACCAGCAACATGCCTCTACCAGGAGCTTGTCTGCAGTGCTATCGGTGGCATAAGCAGGAGTGGTTAGCTACAGTAAAATAGCAATTTTCTGCTAATTGTAAACAACGGTGATGCCCATGTATTTCATTTCTGCCTTTATCGAGTAAACCTGAGAAATAATGAAACCCGGGGAGAACATTTGAACTTTTATTGTACGGGGTAAATGCTCTATAACATTAACAAATCAAAAAACATTACTTCCTGAATAGCAAAATGCCAGGACATTTAGATTAGCCATGCTCAGATTCCTGCTGTGATCGGTGTGTAATCGTCCACCAGCAAAGAACAATCTCTCAAAATTAGTGCTTGTCACAGAGCTCCAGACTGCCTAGAGCTGCACTTAACAGGGCTTATAGTTGAAATGCACAGAAATCTGCTTTTAACCCCAAATCAAAGAACAGCCTTTCCGGTGGCATTCTCGCTGCAGCTGGCCCCTGCCTCCTTTTCATCCCTTCTTCATGAGGGAATCTAGTTTGGCCTTAAAAAGCATCTTTGTTTTATAGAAATTGGCATGTTGCAATGCAGCTGCACGTGACCCGCTAATGGCTCCCCCCACAAGACCCACAGGGACTCCAGGGACTGATAGATCCTGGTTCAGCATTACATTACAACAGACACTGTGCAGAAGAGACAAGTCACGAGACAGGACCAAGGCTCAGCAGCAGCTGAAGGGGACACCCCTCTCCCAACACCAAGTCAGTTCTTAACACAGAGTTAAGCAGTTAGTCTAGCTGGAGCATCCCACATTAGAAGCAAACACCCCAGCACTAGGGCATTATTAGCTCCTTCGCTGCCATTTCTAGCCAGAAATTTTGTGATGGAGCCAAGAATACCTTGCCATCGCAAGTTTTGTTAAAATAAGCATAGGTATTTTAAGAGATTCAGTTTCAACAAGTCAGCATATTCTGCTAAAAAGCATTTAGTTAGAAAACTCCCAGCCAGCTGTAATAGCATTCAACATTTCTATGAAATTTCTTTTTCATTCATAAAGACTGTCTATATTTTTACGTTATAAAGTGACAGAAAAAAGTTTCTATGCCCCTAAGATTGCATTCTTTAGTGGCAGTTCCTCAACAGGAAAAACAATAGCCTTAATTTTAAAAGAGAAGGGGAAGGCTACAGAAGCATCAGTGGAGAAGATTAGGTGGCCTGAGGAGAAAAACAGCACAATTAGCTCCTGTCTGCACCTGACTGCTTTCTGCAGGCTCTTCCAGCTAAGCCAGTAACA